TGCTTGCCATGGCTATGATGACAAGACATTAGATAGTAGATGCGGATTGTGCCATTCTTGAAATGGCACATGAAGATGAACATGGGAATGAGCCCATCCCGCTGTTGGCAGTTGCTTTTTCAAGCTAATAGAGTGCTTGAGGAAGAGTTGGATGCAATCAAGTTGTCATGTCAATTTCGCTGATGCTAAAGGTGTTGACCATTGCTTGCCAGCATGCCGCCAGCATGCAACGAATGTTGGGATGGCTCGTGGCAATGAACATGAATGAACCAATCAATCTACTAGAAATGGCCTCCAACCTACAGCGATGGCCTCCAACATGAATGCACAATTCGATCCTGTTTCTATGTCCTCGTAGGGGCACCACTCATGCTGCCAGCCCAGCCGCTCGAATTGATAGCTTGGCAGCCAAAGTGCTGAAAACAGAGCCCATGTGACAGCCAAAGTTGAGCATTGCTCTAGCTGTTTATTCATGAGGCACGGGTGGTTTTGGTCCCAAGGTTCCACTTGTTACTCCCGTTGAGTGCATTTGGCAGTCCAGGACTGTGGTCCTGGCGCTTTCCCTGTTTCTGGCTATGCCAGAGGCTTCTGAAATGCTTGCTGGTATAGTTCGCCAGCATGGTGGAACAGATGCCGTAGAGGCGGGATATTTGGTTGTTGCTTTTGAATCGAGGCACGTTGTGTACATAGAGCTATAAATATAGGCTAGGTATGTTTGTGTATAGCTGCGGGCCCTTTTGCATTTTAGCAGGGACCATCCGTGTGCTGTGAGGGATGGTCCAACAGTACATGCAGAGGCTGATCACCGTGACGTACCTGCTCGGTTTTATGGATGCTGATAACTCCCAGGCTGTTGAGGTAGATTTTTGACCACGTTGCTGCATACCACCTGTTCATTTAGGCCTTCTGGATTACTTAGGCAGCTTCACGGCAAGTGGCGTTCAGACCAAACGCATAATACCTCGAGCAGTGTCTTTGTGTGTGGGTGGATATACTTTTGTGTGTGCTTCTTGCATTTGGTTGTGCTGAAGTTCATTTTAAAGAGAGGTTGTGAAGCAGCCTCTGCCAAAACCTGGACCTGGCGAAGCTCGAGTGCGGATTGCCTTTGCCGGTGTGAACTTCATTGACATCTACTTGCGTGAGGCCTTCCAGTTTCCCAGAGCATGCTTGGGGCAGTTGAAGCATTCAGTTCCTTCCGTTCTCATTGCTCAGGGGGCCTACTCGCTTGGAGCTCGGTGCATTGTGCCACTTGGCACAATTGGAACAACCTACATCCTGAAGAATCTCAGGTCGTCCCCTCCTTACATACCCGGACTTGAAGGCCACGAACATCGGAACACATCCCCAACGCATCCTAGTCTTGGTGGGTTTTACTTGGTTTTCTTGGCAGGTGCTGGAGTGGTTGAAAGTACAGGTCCTGGGGCCGAAGTTTGGCTTGGACGCCGTGTGGCCTTCGTGTGCCTTGGCAGTTGAGAATTCTGGGGGCCATAGCTAGTAGGTTGGAGGCCATTCCTATTAGGTTGGAGGCAGTCATTGAGGCCATTGCTTTTAGGTTGGAGGCCGTTGCTAGTAGGTTGGAGACCGTCACATGTCTTCGCTTGAGGCACAAAGGGGCCGGTCTGAGCCTGACACGTCAGTTTGGTCATTTGGCTTCCCCAGTTCTTTCCCTTTATGGACCCTGTATTATGGCACCTCCTTGTTTCCAGGTGCCTATTCTGAATTCGCAGTGGTCCCGGTCACGCGGTTGGTGCCACTAGGACGATGATGGGAAGACCTCGCCAAGAATGCACATGCTACAAGCATGTTTCGCTTTGCATGGTCACCTCCTTCAACCAAAGACTCGGAGGAAATGACGTTCAGCTTCAAGATGCAGCAGCGGTGATGCTACAGGGCCTGACGGCGCAATACCTGTTGGATGGCACCGTGCGCCTGGAGCGCAATGACACGGTGCCTACAAGTGATTATCCGAATGTTTACTTAATTCAACACTTGAAAACGTGTTTTTCTGACCTGCGGTCTCCAACACGTGCACGCCAGGTGTTGGTTCATGCCGCAGCAGGTGGCACTGGGCGGTTAATAGTGCAGGCCAGCTGGGATTGTTGTCCTCGCCCACTACAGCACAATGTGGGTGCTGCCTCAGGTTGCAAAGCTTCGTGGTTTGAAAGTCATCGCAACGGTCTCCACAAAGGTGCCAGGGAGACGTGCGTGACATTTCGCTGCATCCTTGTTACTAGTACTGTAGCTTTTTGCTACTACGTAGTGGCGATGCACTTGTCACTAGTCGAATTTGAAGAAGAACTCTTCAAGACCCACGTGAGCTGCTTTTATCTGTTTAGGGGAGGGTTGCTGATGGTGTTCCAGGCAAAGGCAGCTGTCGCAACTGCTGCAGGAGCAGCTTCCACTCAAAGTCCAAGTGATGCCAGGGCGGTCCAGTTTGCCGCCAGGTTGTAAGTTTTAAATCTGTGTCTTGGACAGGGGCCGACAAGGTCATTGTGAGTGACTACAGTGACTTTGCCACAGAAGTTACTTCGGTTGCACTTCTGTTCTACTTTACTCTACTTGGGATTAATTGTCCTTTTTGCTTGAGCGATGTGATCTCATACATACTGAATTGAGGTACTCCAGCATACTCAGAACCGTGGAGTTGCTGCAATTTTCGATGGTGTTGGGAACCGGACCTTTTTGCAAGGACGCCGCGCACCGCAAGAGTCGAGCGAATGCGACGGAGTCGGGCTGTGACAAGAATGTAATTTTAAAGAAACAAGAGGAACGAGAGAATGAAACAAAGCACACATAGGAACAAACCGCATGACTTATCTCGCTTCCTTTCTTTCTTTCATGTTCCTATGTATGCCTTTTTTATGTAGTTCGTTCCTGTCTCCTTGCTTCCCTTTCGTTTGAAAGTTGTAACGCTGTGTCACTCTTTTGTCGCATGGCGCAGCATGGAGTTTCCGCTTTGTCTCTAGGCTTTCGCTGCCTGCGCCCTCGCGGGGGTATGGTTCTTTTTGGGGCTTCCAGCGGCTTTCCACCGAGTGTGGATCTGTCAGTGCGAGTCTCAAAGGCTCCTTGCCTCCCTTATCCTCAGTAATTTGAACTGCTCAGGTGTTGGCAGGCTCCAAGTTCCTTGTGAGACCAAGCCTTTTCGACTTCATAGCTGAGGACCTCAGAGTTTGGGGTTTGGGACAGGTTGACTCAATCTGAATGCGTTGCTTTTGATTTTCTGATGCTTAGGAGTCAGAGTTGAGAACACGGGCAGCTGCTATCATGGACTGGCTGCAGGCGCCTGCAGCAGAGCCAAAGACTGGGAGGACATTCCTGCATGGACGGAGGTGTGTGAAGGATATCTTACGCCCCTATCACAGGACCCTCGACAACAGTCGTGCGTGACGGTTTGCATGAGATACAGCAATGTTCATGGTGAACATCTCCTGACTCAACTCCTGAGTTCGTACAGCTAGAACATCCAGTCCTTTCGACTGTCCTCTCGCAAGCGCCGGAATGATTCGCAATGTCAGCACACAGCCCACATACTAATGTACTCATGACTCATGACATGTAAATCTGGATTGAAGACCCAAAGACTGTTTGTGCAGCACCCGTCAATTTTAAACTGAACGTAAATTTATGTCCCAGTCTTGCACCAGGAGCGCCATTCTCCAGTAAACAGTAAATTCTCCAGATTCATTTATGAAATATGGCAAAATTGACATGGCTTGCCACTCAAGAACGAACCGACATCTCAAAGGTCAGTGGGACACGGTCTAATTAGAATGACCGCGGTCCACTGCATCGGAGCTCTGAAAAAGACTTCTCGTTGACCACAACTGGTCGCTTGAAAACGACCGCAATCCCTGTGACCACCTATAAAACTAGCTCTTCTGATCGCAAGTTTTCTTTGCCTGGAATCCAGTGACTCAATCTTGGAACCTTTTGGGACCTTCACCAAGTTTCGTATTGGAAAGCTATATTACGTACTTGGCAGGTTTCGCTCTGCAGCCGCCTTGGAAAATCTTGGAACCCTGGAATCACGTGATTCTGGAAGGTTTTGATCGCAACCTTCGTTTGGCATTCTGGGCCGCATTGATCCCATCACAAGGCTTGTCTAGCTACCCGTCTAGCCCTACTTATATTTTGCGTTGTGGATGCAGTTGATGGTTCTAAGAGACCGAGTGACGGCAAAAAGAAGGCCTTGTGAGTGTCCCCTACCGATATCCATTTTAGGGTCCATGAATGGAACTTGCTTCAATCAAGTTTGGTTTCTGGGCAAGTCTTGTGACTCTGAAGTCACCCCCGCTGATGATGGTTCTGGAGGCCGAACAGCTCAACCTGCAAATGACCGTGCTCCCACTGGCAGATGCTGTTCCTTGACGCGAAGGGTAAACATGGGGGTTTTGCATCAGCATACTTCAGGCAGGCTGCGGATCAAATTACCAAGTCCAATTTCTGTGGCAGGTGTGGGACGGTCAATTATCACACCGTTTTAAATCTACAGTAATAAATACAAGGCTTCCCGGGGAAAAATGACTGCCCACACAGTCCCAGGTCTCCCGGTGTAGGATTCTAGGGGTAAGGGTTGTAATGAGTTTGAGGGTCAAGAAGCGCAACTTTTGTTTGGCCAGTGTAGTGTTGCCCTCGGGCACCAAGGCTTGCAAAAACTGGCATGCCTCACAGTTTGATAAGTGTTGCAGTCTTGGTTTCCTGTAGCTTCTGACAGTAGTGAATGTAGATTCAGCCAAAGAGTTGTGATATGATATGAGTGCTTTGTGCAAAGCATGCCTAAGCTGACATCAATATCACTCTAGTCTTTGCCCAAGCCCTCAGGCCGAAGCGCTGCGCCAACTACAATCAAGGGAAAGTACTGGCAAGCTTCTCCTCAAAGCCTCACAGCTGCAGAATACCTGCACATTGGAATCTATTCCTCTTATATAGTCCTGTCAATTCAAGTCCCCATTCCGAGGTTGGGCCTGTGGAGGTTGGCCACGCGGATGTCAGTAGTGAATTTAGATGCGGCATTGCCAATTGTGGGCATCATGCTTTGTAACCTTTGTCGGTGTGGAGGCCTCTGCTGAGCTTTAGCCACAACCGTTCAAAGACGAAGCGTCCAGCCGGCAAAGCCGAGCAAAAAGATCAGTGCCAAAGCTCTAGTGATGCTGAGTTTGATGCTGCAAGGGCTCCAACAGTTCATGTTCATATCCAACTGCGTGTGGCTCAAAGTGTGCTGATTTAGTATAATTGGAGTGAGTCAGGTGGGAAGAACATGACTTGGAAGGAGCATTCATTACCAACGCCGGAACTTGCACGAACTATTTCGTTCAAGCGTAGGTATATATCTTGGACAACCACCGCCCACCAGGTATCTTGGGCTCGATCATTATTGTTCAACATGTCCGATAGCGCCATGCTTGCAGCCGCAAAGTTGCTTGAGCCACTGGCTGAGCGTGTTGGGCATTTGGAGCATGTGACGCAGGCCTTTTGCTTGGACTACCTGTGATGCTTCTCATCTTGAGCTCCAGCCTCACAGCCACAGCAGAACCAAAAGCAACGCGGTGTAGCTGGACTTCAATATACAGCTGGAAGGAATATATACTTCCAAGGTGCTCTATCCGATGTATGCTTGATGCAGCTATATTCGTGTTTTTGGTTCATTGGCAAGCTTTCGACCTGCATCACACGGCCTCCCCAAAACAGAAACCAACTTCCTCTGATGCAAGCAATGGCAATACCTCCCCTTTCTGTGGTTGAGGACGGCCATGGCCTTTCTGGTTTGCGAAGTTGAACACAGAAAATTCCACCTGTGCCAGGAGCTTCGGGGTCAGCCGCGACGCACGAATTCGTGGCTTCGGCAAATGCCTCATGTCGCTTGGCCTGTGTATGTAATTATTGTGCACATGTTTCATTCGTTTTTACTGGGAGGGGCGCTGTTTGAAATGCCATTTGGTTCAAGTTCAAGCTGGCCAAAGTGCTGCTTTATATTTTCAGCCCATTGCCTGGCAGTGCGTAAGTCAATTATGAGGGTCTCGCAGGATTTGTGCACACAGTAGCCTCCAACAAAGAATGGTGCTGAAGATGATTGCCAGGTTTTAGGAGATATATAATTACTCTCGTCAACATGGCGAGCCTCATGGACCCCTGAAGCATGGGCAAAACCAGCCTAGACCAAGTCGCAACTTGGAACAACGAAGACTTGGACGAGAGGAAAGCTGCAGATTGGGTGGGAAGCGGCTAAGTTGCAAGAAAATACGCCAGTTCTGCAGTGATTGGTGCCGTGCTGGCAAGATGCCTCGTCCGAGGTCTTCAGGAAGCAAAGGACAAATGCATTGGAGATCATCGATGTGAGGTGGTGTGTTACCACTCGAAGACCGGGAAAGCACAATACTACCAAAATTTTCGGAGACTGGGCGGAGCCAGTTTGGAGAGTTGTCAAGGATCATTGCTTTACGTGTGAAATTGTCCAAACTGCTGCAAGGAAAGCTTTGGGAGAAGTGGAGTCCGGCAAGAAAGGGTGGAAAGAGATTCTGCAAAAAGCACCCCCATGGCAGGAGGATGGGTGGACATGCTTGCAGGCCAGACCAAGAAATGTTTGCTGTAGATCGGCGTTGCTAGTTGGGCCTGTTAGCCGTGTTTGCTTCGTGCCTGCTGGTGCCACGAAAGTAGGACAACTATCCACGAAAGTTTTCTTTGTATAGGCAGAGACAATGCCCACACCAGATTTATAAGCCCACCATAGAATCATAGAAGGTCCGGAGTCCGGAAGGTCTAGAAAGCTGCTGGAGGGCCTCTCAATCAAAAAACCATCCATGCTTAGGTTCCATTTGCGGACTGAGATGTCGATTAATCCATCAGGGCTCTACTAGGGGCTCCTGACATCGCTACTAGGAGCAAGGACGCTACTAGGGGCTCCTGGCCTTACTACTAGGAACAAGCTCTTGAGTTCCAGCACCGTTGCTTAATCCCATGCTAACCTCATCCAGGGGAAAATGATCGACAAAAGGCAACAAACCATGGGGGGTCGTGCCTCATGAGGGGCACCCGTTGCGAACGTTTCAAACCAGTGTTTCTTCAAATAGCCGGTTCAAAATGAAAGCAACTGATTGAATCTGGTCATTTATATAGGTTAAAAGGATTTGCCGGAAGAAAGGAAACAAGGGAACAGAAAGAAATGCAAGAGAGCTGAAAGGATACGCATAAAGGACAAGGAAAAGAGAAAAGGTAAGAAAAGGCCAGCGGAGAAGCAGCAACAAACCAAAGAATGCGAGGAAGGCTCGGTTTAAGAGGGGGGTTCCAAACCGGAAATTGCGCGAAAATGTTGATTGCACTTGTATATTACTATGCTATTGCCCACATTTGTTTGTGGAAAGTGTTTTGGCTTAATGAGAGATGAGTCTTATTTGTTGCATCCTTTGTCGACATGACTCACATTATGGTTGAGCGAGCTTTACCATTTTTTATGGTTCTTCATTCAGAGGGCATCCATGTGGCCGACCGCAAGGCATCTCCCAAGTGTCGGCGCCAAGCTGCTGAGATTGCCCAGAAGAAGAGGGAGGCAGGTCTCAAAGAGAGCCTTCACGGCAACACAGCGCCAAGCTGCGCATTTCCCACTAGTAGCAAGGACACTATTAGGTGGAGGCCATTGCTATTAGGTTGGAGGCCATCGCTACTAGGAACAAGAAGCTACTACTGAACCCACTCACTAATATTGGTCAATTGGGCTGAAAGCACCGACCAGAAAATATGGTTGGTCCGGTCTTCCGTTCCTTTACGACATGAAGGGTAGCGTCCTTGCTCCTAGTAGCGATGCCAGGAGCCCCTAGTAGCTTCTTGTTACTACTAGTAAGGCACTTGTTCCTAGTAGCGTCCTTGCTCCTAGTAGCGATGCCCTTTGCTCCTAGTAGCGTCCTTGCTGCTAGTAGTTGAGCATCCCAGGGACCTTTTGGTTGATCAACGCTGGCATTAAGCCAAGGACCATGGATGCGCTGAACGAGCTTAGCTTGCTGAAGCAGAGCCTTCATCGCTTACCCCCTTCTCCATTTCAGCCGCAAGGACGGATATCACCTTCACTTTGATTCGCCGATTTGTTGTAATTTAGGATTCAGTTTGCCACTGACTGGACATTTTGTGGGTGAAAGTTGCCAGGATCATTTTCCCATGATTCTGCCGACTTCCTTGGCAAGCTCAAATTTCCCACGGGGGAGGAGGCCAATCTGAGATGATTCGAGGGTGAGTGGATTAAAATTCCAAGCCGTTTGAAGCCCGCCCTCAACTCAGGCACAGGAACTACGGCAGGAGTGCACAAACATCGCCTCCAAGGCAATCATGTCACCCGATTTCAACCAACTTCTTTGGGCTAAACTGAAGGCTTTTTGAGTTGATGCTGAATTGGGTTTGGAGGTGATCAATGCCGAAGAGGTCTCAGACTTGGGGAGCTGTTCCGAGCGGATCTGGGTACATCGCCCCATAAAGGCTTCACAGGCTGGGCATGTCATGTCATGCAGCTGTAAGGGCGACACGGGGCCTGTGTTTTTAGAGTTGACAGGGCCGTTGGCAAGAATGCTGCGCCTCTGAAAATGGTTTGAAATGCATGGATCGCTTTGTCATCCCAGCGAACTCCTGCGAGAGTTGCATCTTGGTCAGCAGCACCTGGCCAAGTTGAAGATGCATCCAATATTTCCGCTTGAATGAGCCAAGGCCAAGGGGTTTGCCTGGACATCGGCGGGAAAGAGGGTCACTTGACGTAATTTGTTCAAGTTCTTTCGATTTTGCAAAGTCTTTGTCCGTCAACCTGTTGAGGCTATTGCCTTGAGCTCGGTTCTCCTGGCAGCTGGGAGGGTTCAGGTGGCAAAGTGGTCGAGCTCATGTCTGCCAGTGTTGGGGCCTGGCGCCCAGCTGTGTCATAGATCAATTCCACGTCGCCAATGAAACCGCTCCGAAGCTCTTTGACCTGAGGATCCCACTGTCCAGTTGGTGTTGGGGGCCCCTTTGTTGCGGAGAGGCCGCTGCGGCTCCTTCATTTGAGCCGACAAAAAGGAGCGCAGACGGAGTCGAAAGTCCAATGCGTTTGATGTACATTTGTTCATGTGTTCCTATGGGTGCTTTTGCAGGTTGATCATCTTTGGGCATTTTGTCACATTTTTCCGTGCTCTGCCAAGGCCGTGCTGGCCAGCGAAGCGCAGGAGATCCTGGAAGCTTGTTCTGGAGAAACGTTGATCAGCATGATGTGCATAGTGGACTGAACGATATTCAGCAGATCAAGCGGGCGCTGTGAGTGCTTTGTGGATAGATTTGGAGAAGATCGAAAGCGGTTTTTCTCAACTTTGGATTCTTATTCTAAGAGATCCTTCTCAGATGGACCAGGGAAACCGTTTTGTAGGCCATCGTCTTCGGACCAGTTAGGCCAACAGTTTGACAAGCTAAGGCCGCCCTGAGCGATGCAACTGTGGAGGTGAACGCCTTTCACTTCAGCACAGCAATGAGTGCTTGCGACAGGTCGGGAAAACTGTTTTTGCATGGACTGGAAACGAGCCCATGACAAGAGGCCATCGAATGCGATGCGAGGGATCAGGTCTGGTGCGTTGGACTCTCCGTTGGCCTAGTAGTAAGGCCAGGAACCCGTCGTAGCGTCCGAACGCTCCAGGTCTGGTCTTTGGCAACACGGCCTGGAGGTGCTCAAAGAAATGAAGGACATGCGGATGCAGCCAAACCTGGTGGGAGTCTGAGAACCCTTTCAGCTTGTCCGATGTGCCTACATCTCACATAGATGTAGGACTGGAATCATCTTCCAAGGGTTCTCACTCTCCCTGTGACATGGCGAAGAGGTTTGCTGGAATGGCGCCATGGCGGCCAGCGAGCACGCCAGCGCATGGGCAACAACACTGCAGCTGCTCGTGGGTCTCAAAGCTGAAGGGCTGCCACCTTAGACTTAGACAACCGTTGACACGGCACCCAATCCATGCTTTGCAACAGCAGCTTTGTGTCAATGGCTCACATGCAGCAGTTCTTCCCGAATGCGTAGCGAAGGGTTCTCGTTTAACTCTTGGGGGTCTGGGGGTAGAGCCTTGTTCGCGATCCGTTGTTTCTACGTCCGCAACGGTCCGCAACCGTTCGCAACCGTTCGCGGTAGAGCGCTAAGGCGCTGCCATTGGGGGAAGCTTTTGCAAGTGACTATTCATATATTCATGGATGTGTCACGTGTCAGTTTGCGCCGCTATTACATTGAAAAAGACATGTCGCGCAAGCAACGTGATGCGTTTCGCTGCACAGGCGCAGCGTTTGGTGAGATCTGCAGATTGCTGCGCAGTTCCATTGGGATTAGCGTTTGGAGAGTCGTGCTTTTGGGGTGTTGGATGTGGCCGTGCCATTGGGATAGGGTGTGGCATCGAAGCTCTGTTTTCGTGACAGGTCTCAGCTGAAATGCCGATTTTGGTGGATGGGAGTGTGCTCAGAAGGGGTCGAAATCATTCCAAACGTGTGGTGTGGTGCAAATTTTGTTGAAGCTCACATGAGATGACATTGTTACTTTTCGTGGCAGGCGCAGGACTTTGTGCGGGCTTTGAGGTGTGGAAGTGGGATTTTCGTGGCAGGCGCAGGGAATCGTGAGGTGTCCCGCAACAGTGTCCCACAAGAGTGTGTCCCACAAGAGTGTCCCACAAGAGTATCCCACAAGAGTGTCCTACAGGAGTGTCCCGCAAGAGTGTCCCACAAGAGTTTCCTACAAGAGTGTCCCACAAGAGTGCCTCACAAGAGTGCCCTACAAGAGTGTCCCACAAGAGTGTCCTACAAGAGTTTCCTACAAGAGTGTCCCACAAGAGTGTCCCACAAGAGTGTCCCACAAGAGTGTCCCACAAGAGTGTCCCACAAGAGTGTCCTGCAAGAGTGTCCCACAAGAGTGTCCTGCAAGAGTGTCCCACAAGGGTGTCCCACAAGAGGGTCCCAAATGAGTGTCCCACAGGAGTGTCCCACAAGAGTGTCCTACAAGAGTGTCATTTGGACATATGTAGCTTTTTGAACGTCTTTGCATTCGGGTTCGCGGGTTCCATCTTGTTTTTTTTGGGCCGCGTCAAACCACAAAACTGAGGCTGACCGCAGATGAGATCAGCATAAACACTGCGCTGTGTGCGTGCAGGAGGACTGGTTCGTGGCAGCTGGCTTTGTCCATGTATGGTCGCAACTCGCTCATGGAAGGGAAACACGCTGCCGGTGCAGGAAATGATGGGTTGTCGAGCTTGCTTGATTTTCGTGTGGGTGTGAGTGGAGGCGGTGCTCCTTTTTGGACCTTCGTTCGGTTTCTTCTTGTTTGGTTCCAGCGATGGCCTCCACCCCGGGCCTTGTGGCGGCGCCTTTCACTCACATGAATTACATGTCGGCACCAGCGATTCACAAGAGACCTTCCTGTGTTTGTCGTGGAGCTTTGGGTGGGCGTAGCTCCAGGCAAGAGGATTGAGAAGTGGCCTGGCAACCCGAAGATCTTCAGCACACTGTCCTCGTGCTGCGAGCTTGGAGGTTGGAATGCAGCACTCACCATTTTTGAGACAATGTGCCTCTTGCACGTGCAATCAGACCAGATTTTCGGCTGAAAGTCTTCTTCCTGAGAGAGAGAGAGAGATAGAGAGAGAGCAAGAGAGAGAGAGAGAGAGAGCGCGAGCGAGCAGCTGGCAAATGTTTGGGTGGTTTGATTTTCTTTTGGAATTGGAAAGAGCAAGGAGCGCGAGCAGTGCTCAGGATCAGCCAAAATGCAAGACTGGCAGCTGTCCAATTCGCTGGGAAGTGGCAGCATGCCCTAGAGACATCAGCCTGCGCCACAGTGGACACTTGCGGTGACGTGGCAAGTTTGGGTGCTGCACACCAACTGTGTGCTTGGAGTGGTTCCTGCTGTGCCTCAGGTAAAAATACCATTGCCAGTGCTTGCCAGAAAGCCTTGGCCTGGTTGCAGGCCTGTGCGCTGATCCTTGGAGTCTGGGCTGCTAAGTTTGCTCCAGAAGCACTCTCGCATGGAAACTTGAGTCCATTGGTGTTGACCTGGTCTGTTCAGCTCTCCTTCTACTGCTGAGAAATCAGGAATGGAATCGTCAGGTTTGCAAGAGGACATCGTAAGTTTCAACACCTTCATCAGCACTTTGGAGAGCCTAGGATGCAGTTTTTTGGATCAGCACAGAGTTTGCACATTTGCGGCAGAGACTTGGGGGCATGCCACAGGAGTGAGAGCATTTGGAGTCTTGCAGTGGATGGGTTGCAAGTGGCCGGCCTACGACTCTGGGCTAATATCTACTTGACATGGCTTGCCTTTTGGACACATCCTGCAGTTGCTTTGAGCCGAATGCCTCAGCACAAGGACCCAGCCGCGTGACATTTAGCACATCCATCAGCTCCTGTTCGAAAGCAACTGCCTGGCATCAAGCACTTGAGCGGCTTCAAAGGCCCGGACTTGGAGAGACGACCAAGTGACTCAAGTAACTCAACAACCTAACCCATCCAAGAATTTCATAGAATTTCTGGGATTTGGGGGTCACTTGACTCGAGAAATTCAGGGGTCGCGGACCAGGCCAGAGGCCGAATCTGAGATCAGCTATGGGGCTGCCCTCAGCGCCTGTGAGAGAGGCTGCAAGTGGCAACCAGCACTGCAGCTCTTGCACAGGACTAGTGAAGAGTCAAGAGTCTGTATATACTGCTTGCGAGTGATAGCCTGTGTGAGTTTGGCTAATTCGGGAAAACCAAATGTTTGAGATCAAGAATCCAACATGGCCCCTTTCTTCAACAGCGAGTCACCCATGGACCTGGATATGGGGTGTTGCGATTTGGCCAGGATGCCACAGAGGGAGATGATGCCACAGAAGGCCACTCATGACCTGTGACAACATGTAGTAGATATCAATCATCACACAGCCGAGAACTGGTGAAAACATATGACAACATGAGTTCCACAGGTATGCCACAACGCGGTCCTGTCTGCTTTCGCCCGGATTGGACTTTGGCAACCTGCTTCTCATTTGCTCGACGGCATGCGGGGCAGGAGGGCGGCCCCCGATGAGGTTAGCACCTGGGCAAAGGTTGTAGTGCCAAGGGTCGGCTTGAAACCGATCACACTCAACACATCTCAACACCCAGAAGATGGAGCTGGAGCAACATGTTTGGGTGTTTTGTTGAGGTAGCAATGCCGCAATCAGCGCATGTGAGAAACGTAGCGGGTTGTGGGATGTGAGCCTTGTGCTGCTTGGAGGATCCTTGATCACTTGGGAGCTTCAATGAGTGACAGTGGATAAGTGACCAGTGACGAGTGAGTGGATGAAACAAAGAGGAATGTTATTTCAAACACTTAGAGCCGATATGAGTCCCATGACATCACAGGAATTGCCGGCCTCGCAGCCAAATGCACCAGCATCACGTTCAATGCTGCCACCTGACAATACTTGGATGCATAAGTGCAGCTAGCTCCACTTCCCAGCCCCAACCGACCGGGCCCTTGCTCAGGTGATCAGTGCCTGCGAGACCGTCTTGCACTGGCCTCGCAGTTTTGCCCTGCTGCAACACATGGCATCAGCACCCCTCACCTTGCAGAATGTCGGCTGCAACGCCGCTCTCGGCGCATGCCAGAAACTTGGTGAGCAAGGAGAGAGCGTGTGGCGCTGTTGGCTTAGAATGACGAATGAGGGTTAATTGTTAAGTCACTCTGATTCCCAAGAAGCATGTTGATTCTTGTTGGTTTGTTGTTTCAAGGAAGGCCTTGGAATGGCAGCGTGCGTTGGGCGTTCTGCGTTTTATGAGAGGCTGGTGGTTTGTGCAATCGGGTTGGAATGCAGTGGTCGGTGCAGTGTCAAGGGCAAGCAGTTTAATGCGTAGGTGTCGAAAGCAGCTTAACGCGTAGGTGTCGATGCGTCATTCAGTGAAATCACCTGCAACGTGTCGATCAAAGCCTGTGAGAATGGTCGCTGGCGCCCTGCTTTGCCCTCAGTGTTGGCCAGTGTCGCAGCTCACGAGCATGATATCAATGATACGTGTGAACCTTCCAAGTGGGACTTTGCGTCGAGCCGAGCACTCGGGGGCCTGTGGGTTGAGGCTTTAATGCTACTGCAGTGCTTGCTCATTGCAGCTTTGCAACTTGGCCACATGACTTGCCTTAAGCAAACAAACTAACTGGCAACGAAGATATCGAAGCTGTCAATCTATCTACTGTAGGCAGCCAAGCGATGTGGCCTACAACGCCCTGCTTGCAAGTCTTCAGGTTGCAGGACATGTGGACTTGGTGAGCACTCTTCCAACATCTTTAGACCTCAACCTTGCCTCAAAACAATTCGTAGGACTCTGGCAGCATGGTGTGGAAGCTTTTAGCAACGCAGCTGCACCAAGAAAATGAGAAGCTTTGGAGACAAAGTTGACCAAAGGCCGCTCGTTTTTCATCCTTTTTCCAGTCTCCTCGTCTCAGACCGTCTCAGGTGATCTGGAGAGCAAAGACATCTCACCTGACATTACGACCTACAACTCGGCAACATGCCAAAAGCAAAGAATGGAAATCTGGCATCATTTAAACTCGGTTGTGTGTTTGGGGTTTGTTTGTGTGTGTGTTTGCTCAGCTCAGCTGAGGTGATTGGCCTCTATGAAGGTGTTGCTCACTTTCGCAGTGGACTAGGTCTTAGTGGCGTCAATTGTCATCCCCCCAAGTTCGGTGTGCAGAGACCGCCTGTAGTATTTACAACATGAACTGAGGATTGCCGCTGCAAGAGGCAATGAACTCATTGGCAATCAGAAGCTTAAGAAGTATGTAAAAACGATGCTTTGGTGGAGAGACCTTCAGAAGCCCGTCCAAGCACACCGAGATGGACTAAGCTTCAGCTGTTTGGCAGTGTCATGAGAGTGTCAGCGAATCATCCCGTTCAAGCAAGCCTGGCAATTGACCAGCACCTTGGGCTTCAATACGTCGAAAGTGTGTGTTTGACAAACTCAGGGATGGCATGATGGCACAGTCGACCATGGTTGAAACTAAGACACTGCTCAATTTAACCAAGGTTGTGGGCATCCCGGATGCCATGGAGGTCCACTCCCAGGCGCAGCTCCGAAAGATTGGTGTCTTGATTCAGAGTGCCTTCATGAGGGACACGCCCCACGCGAAGCACAGCAGACCACAAGCCTCTGAATGTCAGAATGCACTGTAAGAGTCGCTTGGGATTTGGGAGATGTTGGTAGGTCCACGAGATTGACAACTGAGCGGCGGCGTTGGACACGGATTGAGCGGCCTGAATCTTGCTCGGCGGCCCTGTGCCTCTTGGAGCCTTTCATTGTCAGGTCTCACTGGTTCCAGTAATCCACATGCTTGTTGGATTCAAAAAAGAGGATAAAGAGGCGCCGGTTTATCTGCCACATGAGGAGCCCCGGCATAAGGTTTTTGGACACCTTTGGTTTGACCAGAGCCTTGGAGGTGCTCCAGCTGCAGCTTGCGCGGCTTACAGAATCCGCACAACTCTCAGCTTGAGACGTGATGGAGCTTGGGGACAAGGATTTGTTCGGGATTCCAACGGGACTCGTAGGTTGGAGGCCATGGCTACTAGGTCGGAGGCCATCAAAGCCCAGGTCTTGGTGCAACTTGATGATCGGGTCAGGACCATTGAGCAGGTATGAGCCTCAGTGCTTTAGTGGGCTGTGCGGGGACCTGCTCAGTAAGGAGTCACCTCATCCCACATATTTATCAATTATATGTCTTTCGTCCAAAGTGAAAAGATAAAGAGCACTGATGCAGTGGGCCAGGGTTTTTCGCAGCTGCAGAAGGTCTCTTCTCAGGCCCTGCGATTTCAGAAAAGTAGAATGATCAAACAAAGGTGACAACCGTCCTGTGTGGCACAGGTAGGGGAGGCTTTCAGGTCTTTCAAGCCCAAGGAACGACCTGCTTTCAGGTCGCTCCCGTTGAACCTTGCAATGAGGATGCGGAAGAGGAGGCTTGGGCGACTAGGGTGTGTTGGGCTGCTGATCCCACATTTGCCAGGAAGAAAATGGTGGACAAGCACCAAACCCGCAGCTCAACCTCGTGATTTCACAGCTACTAGGATGCATCATTGAAAAGGGACTGCAAGATTGAAGATATGTTTTGTATCTCCCTCTCTCTCTCTCCCCCTTCTCTTTCATATTCTTTCATTTATTATCCAATTCAATCATTTAATATCATCTATATATGTCCTGAGTCGGTGGAAGTGACCATGCACGCCTTTCTCGGTTTTGTGCTCTAGGCATCTTCGGGGAAAGCCTAACAGCAGCACACCTGTGGATTGAACTTCTATCCATTGAACAAGCTTGAAGTGAAATCGGTAACCTTTCTCCAACATTCACGGCCGCCCAAGAATCACACAGCACCTCTACACGAAACCTTCGAAGCAAATTCGATTCGCCCCAGTTTTTTCATGCCCAAGCCTTGCTCATGGAACATTGCGAGAATCCGTTGTTGGCTTGGGCGAAAGATGGCCTATTCTTCTGCGACACTTATGTTGTGACACGCGTTGCTTGGGCTGCATCGTTTCTGGGCAGATCATTCCCCCCTACTTACTTGCAGACACCACTTTGTAATGCATTGTATACATGCATTTGCTTCTTCTGTTGTTTATAGGTTCAGTAGGTGACAGTGACTTCTGACGACAAACTGTGAGTAACCAGGTCTCATGGGTCTGCCGTGAGCTACGACCTGCAACTCTGGTGGTGGACATTTGGAAGCCCCGGCTCCGACAACTCTGCCAATTCTGGTCCTTGCTTTGTTTGGAGAAGAATTGGAGGGAGCAATATTTGCGACTTTATCGGCCAAGATGGGATGGAGTCTATGTGGGTCATTGCCAATATTTGCACAAAGTCCGGCCTGGCTCATCATTGACATACAAGGAAGGTTGTGTTTTGGTTACCTACCGTCGCTATTTGCGATTGTTCCCTCCCAATGAGGAGGGCGAGTTGCGTGCGTTGCTCTTGCAAGATGCCGCACCCATAGATGTGGCACTGCCCCTGCTCATGAGTACATGTCCCAAGTCCAGGGCCAAGGCCAAGGAGCAAAAATCGCCGTTGGAAAAGAAGTTGTTCGTGGCATCCTATGAATACCACCCGGATGAGGTCAAGCTCAAGTACTGCAGCGAGAACGGGGAGTATAACCTGGTCTTGAAGATTGCTCACTCCAAGGAGGGACATTTCTCCGAGCAACTGGAATGGATCGACTACACTTTGACACGGCCAGGGGATGGAACTCACCAGTATGACCTCGGTAGAAATGAGTGGGGCCATCCAAAGAACCCTTCACGTGACCATTTTCCGCCCTTTGTGTTGCGCAGGCAGTCCTCTCTGGAGCATCACCTGTAGGGTCGGCCGGGTTGGGTCCAATTGCCTTCGAGCGGATTTCGCCACTGAAAAGCCACTCCCTTTTGGCCCTTTGGGACAGGCGTTGTTTCTGCATGTCGTTTACAAGCTGTATAGCTTGTTGATTCTTGTGGTTTGAAGGGATTCTCAACGGAGTTGCTTAAACGTGGCTGCAATCAGCTGCAGTGCCAGATGTACAGCGGCCATGGGTGGTTGCACTGCTCCTTGGCAAGCTCCTTCAAATAATGCTGGCAGCTGGCATGTTGAAAAATGATGAAACATGTACGTACCTCTCTCTTTCATGTTGCTTGGTTCATGCACAACTTGCCGAATGTTTGTCGCTAGCAAGTATTTTTGCATTCTGGATGGGTTGGTTGGCAGGTCACTAGTTTAGAGGCTCCAATTCCAATTATATAATTTGCTGCCACTGCAGATCTTCGTGAGGTCAGACAATCCCAGTGCCATGGTCACCGTGGAGGTGAGGGCGTCGGGTGCCCCGAGCCGTGCCTTCTGAAGTCAGTGTTTGAGGGACGAGCGAAAAACGTGGGGGCAGCTTTTGGCCAACCCAGGCGGGAGAAAGTTCAGGATTTGAAGACCAAGGCAGACTTCAGTGCTGGCCGAAGCAGCAGAAATCAGAAATCATTGACTTTCGGCGCAGGCTCATCAGCAGCTTGCTGTGTGGGCCCGCTTTTGCGATGAACTGGGCAGCCAGGCAGAGAAAACGAGAACATCATGTCGCTTGGCGTCGTGACAAACTTCATCGTGGAATGCATCGTGCCAGGCTGAACTGCCACCTTTGAAGGACTGCAAGCTCTCGCCTTAGCGGCCCAGGACTGGAAGGCTAGTAGGTTGGAGGCCATCACTATTAGGTTGGAGGCCATCGCTTTGTAGATGCGTCTCTCCTTATTGGTGTTTGCGTCCCTAGGCTGAGCAGAGCCAGCAACAAGGAGGTGCTGGATGATCGTAAGCGACTGGCACACTGTTGCTTGGCTGGCGCTACTGGACCTTGGACATCGCACTAACAAGGGCATCGCTACTAGTAACAAGGGCATTAGTACTAGTGGCAAATAGCTACTATTAGCCAAATATACAGCTACTAGTAGTAATGCCAGGAGCTACTAGTAGCGTCCTTGCTCCTGTCAATTCGCATGCATTTGTTCTCATTCATGAGATGGCCTTGAACATCCAATGTCCGACCGTGCCACCCATGCCAAATGATCAGGTGGACTGGAAAATGGAGATGAGCTCCACCTGGGCACCGACCATGCAGTTGTAAGTCCAGACTTGGCGCTGAATCAAGGCCACTGGATGACTGCAGAAAATTGGGGTGTGATCGAGACAGCGGGGATGACCAATCCCGGAGACCTAAAAGAAGAGCGAGACTACGTAACCGTCACAGTCAGGCTCACCCGTTTGCCGGAGAGTTCCGCGCTTGCCCACTGGTGCAAAATTCTTTCAGACCACGTCGCTAGGGCAGCTGGGGCAAGAAATTGTGCCAATCTTGGATGAGCCGGAAGACATGCAGCTTGCATGCAGTACACGGCGTTTTTTCTTCTCACAACTCACAACCTTTGCGATGACCTTAAACTCCTGCCCCCACCCCCCCCAAAAAAGATATACGGTGAATGGAGGATGAAGTTGTGTGATCTAGTAGCCATACTGGGCAACAGAATCCTTTCATGCAATGAGCCCAGGTGCAGTCCAATCGTGCATTTGCAGCTGGGCTGATAAATGCATCCATTCATGTATATGTGACTCACATGGCGGTGTATGGCATTCACCTTCCGCCAGACATATGCTTGGCCACAGGTTGGTGGCTCATGCCCTGGGCGAAGTGAACATTGAAGTTCCTTGTCGCGTCAACTTGGAAGATGCATAACCAAGCATGGCTTCTGGCTTTCACTTCCTTTCAGTTCCTTACAGTTTTCCGTTTGTGATGTTTGTGTTCTTCATAGGGCTTCAGGACCAACATAGACAAACTGATGTTGTCACCGATGGGCCATATGGCAGGACTGTCCTGGGCTTGTCCACATCTCATCCCTTCTCAGGCACGGCGCTCCGAGACTGTGCTCTCTGTGAAGAAGCGTGCTTTGGAGCAGCTGGACGTGTGGTGTCGCTTCACAGATGTTTGCAATGACGGTCGCTTGGTCCAAAAAATTGTTTTTGGTGAAATACAGTATGTTTGATGATTATTCTCAGGTTGGCCTTAGAACTCAACACGCCTCACCCTGCCTGCTGCGTTCTTGAGCCACGCAGCATACGCACTCAGGCAGTGACAGCTCTGCAAAGCTGCCAGCCTTGGAAGTCGCAAAGCTCTACGCTTCTGGAAGCGGCATCTTTCTGAGGAGGTTATTTGAGTAAAGACAACCGGGTTCAGGTTCAGAATGTCTGAGGTGATGGGCTGCTCCTTCCGCAGCCCTTGGTTGAGAGCTGCAGCTTGGCACAG